TATTATACTTAAATCAGTTAAATAAATGTAACTTAAGCACTCTAGTTTGTCCATCAAAGAAATCAAATAAACTTGCAAACATATTCCAGTTAGGACGCCAGGTCAAAACTAAACAACCTTGTGCATAATAGCAAACAGACAAGAAGAATCAAAGGTTTTTCTTGTCAGAAAAGTACACATACAACTCTATCATATCTTTTTACCACATGAATCCAGAGGCAAAGAGCGTAAACAGCCTACCTCAACTAAAATTCATAAAAGTAATAACTCGGTTTGTTATTGGCACTTCAAAAATCTTATTTGCACTTCAAACTTTCTATAATTAGTAAGAAAATTACACTTGTGAAAAGTGTAGAATGAGAGTTTTAGAGTGCTAATAACAGTTCCTTTTGTTTTATCAGCCTACTATTCAAAACCAACATAGACTTCTTAAATAAAGGAAAAGGATCCTTGCCGAATCTTTTTCCTGGGGATCCCGAGAATCCTGTGGTCTTGATCGTTCATCGCGCGGTCAGAAATCATTTTAAATTTTAAATTTAAACTTAAATATAAATAGTATCTAACGAAAACTGACCGCATGATATACGATGAACGGTCATGATTATGGAATCCCCATGAAAAGGAGGAAAAGGATCCTGATCCTTTTCCTTGTATAAAATAAGGAGACTTGAAAATATTAATATAATAAAGAGCATGACCAAACTCTCCAAAAAATAGTAGGAAAAAAGACATGATTAAAGCCCATTCCGTAGGTCCAAAGGAACTAGTTTGCAAACCAAGTTAAAGATCTTTAAAAATACAAGCCCGCAAACACACGCACACAACCACACATAAAGTTTGAGATTACTCCATGTATTGTTAATTTTATTTTAACTACAAAGGCTTTAGAGATTTATGATGTAAAACCAGCCGCTATGTTTTGACATTTTATATTAGTATAGATTATACAACATAAAAAAAAAGTAAGTCAGCACATAAAACTACATACGAATCAACGCTGTAATAGCATACCACATTGCTTAAAGTAGAAGCAGATGAAGGCTGCCCATCAACAAACTAATAGCAGAGATAGCGAAGGATTTCAAATGAGAATATAAATGCAATGAAACTTGTCACTTTTTGTGACAGATTCACAGGTCCAAAACCCATACAGCCTTCAGTGTAATACATGCCTTTTTTTTTTTTTTTTTTCAATTTGTAGATATAGAACCACTTTCGACCTAAAAATCAGATAGCTCTACTAAATTGACAACCATTTTAACTCTCTTGACAAACACCCCAGAGCATTAGGAGCTTCCACTAAGGCAAAGCCTAGGGAGGGCAAGACATACGCAGGCATAGCCTGTTCTACCTAAGGTAAATAAAAATACAGCCTAAAGATAATTCACCTAAATTAGACTACTTTTGAACCCCTTCCGGAAATATTGCAAATTCAAAGTTACATGTTGTATTAACAAGGTTCTAAAAGACACTAGGCACTAGTCGAGCGGTGGGCTGGGGGCCTAGCGCCTGGGCGGTTAGGCAGAGCTTAGGTGGGCGCCAAGGCAAACTAGATGAATTTAAGTAAATCCATTATGCTTCATATAAATAAGTGTTTGTTTATTGATTATACTTAAAATATATATAATTTCATTATAAACTACAAAATAGAATGACATATATATTATAAAGTATTGGAACATAATGAAAAAAATGGGGAACAAGCATATAATTTATGTTCATTTAAGTATTCAACAAGTCTCTTACAATTTATTGAGAAAAATAAAATGCAAAATGAAAGTTATTTATTTTTTATCTAAGTGAGTCACAATCCATGCCGATCTGGACGGGTTAGGCACCCTTTCTTAATACTCAAATGCCTAGACAATAATCAGGTGTCAACATAACTAATAACCGAAACAACTTGGTACCAATAGGGTAAACACTTCAAATTTCTGAGAACAATAGCTACAATAGATATACTCCTGCATGAAGGTTATTGACTATACATTTCAATCCCACATTTCCTAGCATATTATTGCCTGCAAGATAATACCAACAGACCTTTGAAAAATCTTAAAACAATGTCTACATTTTATTGAATTTGTTTCTTTGATGGTTCAAAGCTACTTCTTAATGTGAAGGTTGACGGAAGTTAAATGATATCCAGCATGACAAATACAAAAGATAAAATACACTGAAACAATGCATGAACAAACAAAGACAAAATAGTGAACAAGAGCATCACCTTTGCAACATGTTCCAGAGTGATAGCCTCGGGAATGATGGCAGTCCGCAGATTAGAGAGAGAGCAGATAGAGGAGAGAGATTCACGTTAATATGTGAAGTGTGGACTTGTTTTCTTAGTCCCACATCGACCAGCTAATCAGAAACTTATTCCTTTATATAGCTGACCCGTGCAGCTGCAATTGCCGAGTTCAGTCACGTGAACTTGTAACCCAGGTGGGGGCATTAAGGATGGATAGGAGGGGATTTAAGGAGAGAGGTCAGACCGATTCCTACGCGCATCCTGGACGGCACCTGGCACAGGTGTCGGGCGCGTGGATTGATAAGAAGCCCGCCCTGAAGCAAGCGCGATGTTTTCATTCCACCTTGCAAAAGGGGTCGTGTCTTACAGACCTTCCGCCGCGATGGCAGAATTCTGGACCCTCAGAGGTTACTTCTAAGGGTAATAACCCCGTTGGCTTAATCAGAGCAACGGGGGGTTCTTACCAGCGTAGGTCTCCCTCTCTTCAACCTCAACCTCCATCTTTTTAATTTTTTTTACAAAAAAGAAAAATCTTGAATGAACATTAATAAGATGTTTATTCACACAAGATAAAAAAGCTAACAGAATTAAAAACCCAACAAAGAGAAACTGCACAATTTTTTTTTACAAAGAAGAAAAATCTTGAATAACCTCGCCAAAACAAGTTAAAAAAAAAAAAAAAAAAAAAAACATCTTTTTTAATTTATTTTTTTTTACAAAAAAGAAAAATCTTGAATGAACATTAATAAGTGTTTATTTTCGGGATGAATAACCTCGCGAAAACAAGACAAAAAAGATAACGGAATTAAACACCCAACAAAGAGAAACTATAGGAAAACATCACGAGGTTTAGAGGTTTAAGAGTGTTTGAAACTAAGGAATGATGACAAAAGATAAGAGTTGAATCAAAATATTCAACTAACAAAATGCAGTGAACTCAAATTAGTCAAGTCATCAACTATAGGATTCATCTTACGATGAACATGAAAGAGCTCACAATTCCATTTCTAGTGTAGAAACACATTTTGATTTCACCCACCAAAATATTTTGAGCAGCAGTTATAGTTGTTCAGGTGAAGATTTCTCCGGAGATGGCTCCTCAGCTCTTAGCACAGCTCCCCAAGGGTTGGCACTTTGGATGTGTAGTCGGGCTTCTTGCTTGCTGATGTGCTGCAAAAAGAGGATAAAGTTAGTTTTGAAATGTGCCTTTGTAAGGCCTTAGTTTTAGGCCTTGAGGCTCGCAATCAAAACTAACTGAGTGCTAGGTGTGCCACTGCTATCTCAGTATAGCAGATGTAGAACAAGTGTGTTTTAGTCGATTACTTGCGCCCCAAGTTACTTGGACTTCTTGTTATCAAAGGATGTCGTTGATGAGTTAAGTCCACATTGAGTTCTTTTTCTTGCCTTGTGACCAAGGACTTTTAGTTTATAGTCTTGTATGTTCAAGTGAGGAAGTCCAGATCTCCTTAAGTCATATACTCGGTTCTTGATTGGTTTTTTTATGAAGGCATATTCATTCGGGTAATCAGATCTGGGCACAAATGAGACTCTTAAAGTAGGAAAACAGATGGATATGACTTGAATACATGCTGGAGAATACATTAAGCAATAGATCTATTAACTTATAAAACAAAGAAAGAGCTTTGAGCAAGATTTCACCTTGTCGGGTAAGGTTAAACTTCTTGCAATCACTTCTCTTTTGAGTTTACAGGGTCGATATGCTAAGAAGGGATGGATGGTAAACAAGGTTTACACGAGAGAATCAATAATACGCCACTAGGGGTGATAGCAGAGCTTCTAAACTAGACAAAAGATGGCTTTTTGTGTGGAGTGATCCTAAAAAGAATTGAGATCTGGGCTGATTACAGTTTTTAGATGCAAATCTGGCTTGAGAGCAGAGTTTGTATTTTTTTTTTTTTTGTTTGATTGGTTGAGTGTCCTTGTCTTTGGGGCATCTTCCTCCTTTTATAGGTAGATTAACCTAACTACTGTAGCTTTGCTCTTGCCTAAAAATAATTGAAGGGTAGTGAGTCATCATCTTTTTACTTGTATTACCATTGAAAAGTGTTTTTTGACTGATTGGGGGTTAGTCCCCATCACTTGACACTTAAATCATAGGCACATGACCTATACATTAATGAGAAGCCGCCAATTTGTCTTTGGGCCTAATGCTGGGCTTCGGGCAAGTCTTCTATTAATTGGTGTTTTTAGGCCTCCACACACTTGCCGTCCAAAGTTCAAATATTAACCCAAACAATAATTTACCATTATTATCACATATTCTGTTTATTTCACGTTTATAGTTTTCATTTTTCGTTTCTACATCCTATAAGCTTCATTGTCATTTTATTTACACGCTAAAAAGTTGTTGAGCGATCGTGAGTTCTTTTATATTTCATACCAATTTTTTCAGTCGTGTAGTAAGTTTGGGTATTCATTTCCTCCAAGTTTTTTTATTGAGATAAATGAAACTTTTTAGCAAGTGAATGAAATAAAATAAAAACATACGGAGATTATTATTAATTTTTAGCTCTTTGAATTCCAATTCCACCCTAATTTAAAGTTCAAAAAAAATTAAAAACTTAAAAGAAAAAATAAAAACTAAATACTATTGGAAAACTAGGAACTGGTCATCGAACGTTGTATCGCAATTATTTGAATTTATTTATTTATTTATTTGTCTAAGGTTTCATTATTGTAGCCTGTGCCTGATTTCATTACGGAGCGCATAGAGAGGAAAACACAGAGAAAATGACATACACCTAACAATACATGGATACACGATTACTAGTAACACTAAAACATCAAGGAGACAATACACGATTTGGAGAACCCTAGAAACATACCACAACATCTCAACCTACCAAGCTAGAAATTAAAAGGAGAAAAAAATGAATTCACACTTAATACAAACGTGGCCTGAGAATGCTTCTGCACGAGTATGGTATGGAATGGCACTAACGCTACTGCTGCATGGCCATCATAGAAACAGCATTCGGTTCATGTCCGTGCACTCTCAATCGATATATGCAAGTATGAGAAGGGCTTCCATGGTTGGATGTGAAGTCCAACCTCACTGTGTCGACAAGGTCAGACACTGCCCGGTCCAAGACATCGAATGTCTGTGCATTGCTTTTTTCAAGGTCATAAGTAAATTCAGCTAGGTGAATCTCTGTATAGACTTCTGGATCATCCCGTCCTCGCAGCCACCCAGAGATCCTGCAGTCCTTAGGGGCACTCGATCTGTCATAAGCAACGCTCTGTTCAAAAATAAAAACAGATATGTTAGCATATTTTTAGGGACGCAACCAATAAACACAATCAAAAGAAAAACAAGCACAAAGAGATGCTCAAACACAGAGAGAACGAACGCAATGATGGTGAACTCAAGTCAGAAAAGATTTTGAGAGGGGAAAATGCCTCTTCATGATAGCTAGTTCACATGCTATAATACTCCATCATTGCAATATATGTTCGGTGCAATAAAAGCAACGAAGCGATCAAGCCATAAAAGGAACTCAAACTAATCCTATGGAGTTGCTTTGCGAAGGAAGTATACAAGCAGGTCAAACATTTATTGCAAACGAAGTTAATTTCAGAGTACAGTTTATAAAATCAGTAAGAACTATAAAGTTTATTTTTTATCTTAATGGAGGTCAAAGCTTGCCAGTACCCAAATAATATAGAAATCAACACATGTTTAACTAAAGATAATTAGAGTAATGCTTTCTAAACATAACAGAAAGCAAAATCATGACAGATATTGGCAAAAGTAACAACAACATCTGCAACCAATTTTGCTATGCCAGACCATACGACGAAGGATCATGTAAATTTGTTCATATAACTAATCAGAGTGGCAATTGTTTGGTCCATTAAGAACTGGAAAAAGACACAGAATGAAAATACATCCTAAAATAGTAAAAGACAAAAAATGTTCCCACAGACTAACGTTTTCACATATTTAAAATGGTGCCGCCTTACAACTAAATTTCATCGCAGCACCTTATTCTTAATTTAATCTGCAGTTAAACCAAAATATCCTGCCCAATAGGATTTAGGGTTTAGTTTACATCACAAGACCACATGTCTAAAGAATAACCGAGCAGAACCATACATAACTGGCACTTGAAGGCATTTAAAACAGGACAGATATACACACACTAGAAACTAAGAAATTCTGCTTGTCTACTAGGTGCTCCCCCGGCCAAAATTGCTTATTTAGAGTGAAAATTTTCCAATAACTATTCTAATTTTATGCACTGATAAATTATGAGTTGCAGTTCTAGTAGGCCTCATGATCCACATCAGTCCAGTGTTATAACTAGAGGATTCTGCTTGTTCAATCCTTACCTATTTGCTTGCTGCTTAAGTCTACAGATCCTAAACTCATTTTACAACCCAAGCCTCCCGTCACCTACCATCACAATCATAAGATATCAAACATGCTAACTCCCAAATCAAAAATCTTTCTTTTCAGACAAAGCATTTCCATATATTACACGTAGATCAATTAAAATAAAGGTAACTTGATCACTCTAGTTTGTCCATTAAAGAAATCAAATAAACTTGCAAACATGTTCCAGTAAGGACGCCAGGTCAAAACAAAACAACCTAGTGCATAATAGCAAACAGACAAGAAGCATCAGAAGTTTTTCTTGTCAGAAAAGTACACATACAACTCTATCATATGTTTTACCACAAGAATTCAGAGGCAAAGAGCGTAAAAAGCCTTCCTCAATTAAAATTAATTAAAATAATAACTCTCTCAATTCAAAACCTACATAGACTTCTTACATAAAATAATGAGACTTGAACTATCTATAAATATTAATATAATCAAGAGGATGCAGGCAAACGTTCCGAAAAGATTGTATGAAAAAAGACATGACTAAAGCCGAGTCTGTAGATTCAAAGGTTTCAGTTGTGGAACTGGTCAGGACCCTAAAAAATCATGGCTTGGGCTTAATTCACAAAATTGCAAACCAAGTTACAGATCTCTCAAGATATAAGTGCGCAAACACCCAAATAACCCCATATAAAGTTTGAGATTACTCCATGTATTGTTAATTTTATTTTAACTACAAAGGCTTTAGAGATTTATGATGTTAAACCAGTTTTTTGAACTTTTACATTAGTATAGATTATACAATATAAAAAACAAGTAAGTCTGCACATAAAACTACATACAAATCAACAGTATGAGAGCATACCACATTGCTAAAAGTAGAAGCAGATGAGAGCTGCCCATCGGTAAACTGATAGCAGAGATAGCAAAGGATTTCAAATGAGAATAGAAATGCAACGAAACTTGTCACTTTTGGTGAGAGATTCACAAGTCCAAAACCCTCTTGTATATGTCTCATAATACAGCCTTCAGTGTAATACATGTTTTTTTCAATTTGTAGACAGAAAACCACTTTAGACCTAACGAAGGCGAGTCTTCAACAAAAAATTAGATCGCTCTACTAAATAGATAACAATTTTAACTCTCTTGACCAACGGCCCAGATCATTAGGCTTCCACTAATGCAGGGTCTAGGGAAGGCAAGATATACGCAGGCATAGCCTGTTCTAAGTGAAGAAAGTTGAGGTTCCACCATCAAACCAATTGGCCATATAAGGAGTAGCCCAACTTACTTATAAGCCCATGCAAGGTCTCTCCTCCCATCAATGTGGGACTCATTCTCAACACACCCCCTCACGTGTGACAAATTTTCAAGCCTAACACGTGGAAAACACAATGGGGTGACGCGGTGCTCTGCTACCATGAAGAAAGTTGAGGTTCCACCATAAAACCAATTAGCAATATAGGGAGTAGCCCAACTTACTTATAAGCCCATGCAAGGCCTCTCCTTCCATCAATGACGGACTCAATCTCAACACTAAGTCATATTACCTAAGGTAAAAAAATCCAGCCTCAAGATAATTCACCTAGACTCTTCACAACCCCTCCCAGAAATTTTGCAAGTTCAAAGTTATATACTGTATTATGGCAAAAACATTAACTATCACCAACAAATTAACTAACATACTTCAAATTAAGAACTGAATCCGCCTAGATTAGCATTTTGAAGTCTAACCGTCAACATAACTAATAACCAAAACAACTTGGTACCAGCAGAGTAAACACTTCAAAGTTCTGAGAACAGTAACTACAATTGATCCACTCTTGCATAAAGGTTATTGACTATACATTTCAATCCCACACTTCCTAGCATATTATTGCCTGCAAGATAATACCAATAGACCTTTGAAAAATCTTAAAACAATGTCCACATTTTATAAAATTTATTACTTTGATGGTTCAAAGCTACTTCTTAATGTGAAGATTGACAGAATTTAAATTATATCCAGCATAAAAATAACGGGAGATAAAATACACTGAAACAATGCATCAATAAACAAAGACAAAATAGTGAACAAGAACGTCACCTTTGCAACATGTTCCAGAGTGATAGCCTCGGGAATGATGGCAGTCCGCAGCTTAACCTGGACAAATCCATTACTCCCTTTCAAGGGAAAACAATGGCCAGGCTCCCCAAAACTAGGTTTCAACATCTTGTCAGCATCGCCATGAACCCCATTTTTGGTACTCTTCAAGAACCAATTGCCCCCTTTCCCCACCAAATATGGCTCTGAATGCTTCACAACGGAAGCCCCACCAGTGGCCAAAGCATAATCCACCCTGCCAAGTCCATCCGCTGCATGCTTCTCTATCTCTTTCTCAACCACACTCCTCGCATAGGCCCTTATGTCATCCAAAGTTGCACCCAATTCACTATCTTCGCTGCCCTTCACCTTCTTCTTCAAATCCTCAAACACCTTTTCAAACTCTTGCTTCGACAACCACTCCACGCTCCTCAAATCGCTCACCGACCTCTCCAACCCTTCATTCTTGGCCTCCAATTTCCTCAACTCACCCTCCAATGCAACCCCTTTATCCTCTATCTTCTTCTCTATTTCTCTCCTCAACCCTCCAACCTCGCTCTCAATCTTCCGGTCCACAACCTCCACTTGAACCTGAACCATCTTTGTAGTGGTCTTCATAAACGCTTCCACCTCCGCTATTCGGCCTTCCAAATCCGAAAACGCCATGGGAACCCCAACCCCAGGCCCAAGAGCCAGTCTCCTGACAATCTGAAACAAACCCACAATCAGAACAAGCAGAATTAAGTTCTTGGAAAAGATTCGGAGGACGGTGACCCATCGAGGCTTGAGATCAGCGTCTAGGGTTTTGCGAGAGCGGCGATTGGAAGGCGGCGAAATGGTGGAATTGGGGCCGGTTTTCTTGGGTTGTGCGGACCGGTCAAGACCCGGTTCGCCTCTGATGGAGTGGTGGCTGAGATCTTTGGAATTGGTGGCGGTGTCGTCGGCTTTGTGGGTTTGGGGTTCGGCGGAGACAAGCTCGATGTTGGATGTCTTCTTATCGACGGCCACGACGTGTCGCCGCCGAGTCGTCACCGGGTTCGCCGTTATTGAAACGGTCGACGCCGACATTGGATTTGAGAGTTGGGTTTTCTAGGATTAGATTAAAAAAAACTTGAATTGAAAAGTTGAGGATTGAAAACGAGGGAAAATGGGGGAAAGCAAAAATTTAGAAGATAAAGGGGGAATTTTGGGTTTGATTTGAAATGATTGAACCAATTAGAGATCGAGCGATCTGAAAGAAATTTAAGAATTAAAAGAATGAGAAATTAGGAGTTTGGGCGAACCGGCGCGACGGTTTTGGGCGCTTTGGGTGTTTGAATCTCTCTCTCGACTGTGGCAAGTTTCGGATATGAGTTTGTTAAAACTTTTTTTTTTTGTGTGTAGGAGATTATAGTGCTGCCGTTCGAAATGGATTTTCTCTTTCATCAAAATCATTAAATTAAGGGATATAGATTCTTGAAATTTGGTCAAACGGTTAAAAACAAAAGCTTTTTAAAAGTTATTATAACTTTAGTGATTTGATCAAATTTTAAGGACGAATCACCTGATTTGGTGGAAGAAATTCGGAAAGAATCACTTTCTCTGCTGCACCAACTAATGTAATTGGTTTAAAAAAAATTATAAGTTTTCATGTAATTGTATTATTATACTTGTTTATCGGCCATGCTCTCTTGTGATTTTGCTGAATAAATTTTTATGGGTACGCGTGTGCGACAATTAGATTTTTGTTTATCACATAAGAAAGTTACTCTATGTTTGGGTGAAGAAATTTAAGATTACTAAGGAATTTAAAAATGACGGAAAATGAAATGACGAGATTTTATTTTTTAGAATTTGTAAATTTTCTTGTTTGGTCAACCTAAAAGAACAATAGAATTGAATACGGAATTTGTTATTTTTAATCTCTCAATCATAGAAATTGAGAAATGACACTTATTTACATGGATTTTCCAAATTCCAAGTTTTTTTTCCACGCATAAATTCTAAATTTCTATGTTTATGAATCCAAACAAGAGAATTAGTGCTTGTCAATTTATAAATTATGACTTTTACCAAAATTCCATGTTTATTTCCCTCATCCAAACATAATGTTAAGGTTTCTGTATAAAATTAATTGGCAATATGAGGAGTAGATCAACATAAGTTCTTGCATGGTCTCTTATCGATGTGAATTTTGTCTCACATTCTCACACGCTCTTTAACGTCTAGGTGAACAACACAAACAGAATAACATGAAGCACTTGTGTATCAAACTGCCTCTGATACCCTTAAAATTTGAGACAAATACTTGTGGCAAGAGAACCAAATAACATTTCATTCAGCAAGCTTTATAATGTCATCTATGATGGCTGGTTCTTCGCCATTAACAACACAAACAAAAAATGATGAAAAATGATGATCTCCTCGAGATCTCATGTTTTGCATGCGTTTCAACATCTTTATTTGTATCTAAAGTGATGATTGCACCACACTAACTTGAATTAGTTTGGACTAGATAAAAATCTTCCCCAAAAACCACCCAAATGGTATTTCAACATCTAGTGTGGTTATGAAAGTTAGTCTACGGCTTCAAATGTCTCTGTAAATCACATGATGATGGTTAGGATGAGGCTAAAATGTCTTCATAAATCTTTTTAGCTCTAAAAAAAATAAATTATGGTGGTGAAGCCACAAGCTGATCTCCTTTTAAAAGAAGAAATAAACAAAAATCTAAGAAAAAATTGTAGCATTGGTCCTTAAACTAAAAATTCATGATCATTGGTCACTCAACTTATCAAAACGTGTAGATATGATCATTTTTGTCAACTCTATTAAAACTTCTGTCAAAATGAGTCACGTGTAATGCACGTGAGATTGAACCAATATGGAAAACTAAATGAGAAAATTGTATAAATGGTCTCTTAACTTTAATCCAATTGGAGCAATGGTCTCTCAACCTTTACCCAATTGGAGCAATGGTTTCCCAACTTTAACCCTATTGTAGCAATGATTATTCTAACATTACTCGTTTTGACGGAAATTCTGATGGAGTTGATGAAAATGACCGTAACTGCACGTTTTGTGTAGTTAGTGGATTAATGGTAGTGAATTTTTAGTTGAAAAACCATTCCAATAAAGTTAAAATTGAGAAATCATTGCTACAATTTCCTCAAAATCTAATGCTTCAAATGCATGGCCACGTGCCATTGTGGATTCATTTGCTTTTGTCTTGTTTATTAGTTTAGCGCAATTATATTTGTTTACTAATTGAACATGTTGATGTTAAAAACTTTTCGTATTTGAATCAAAGAGTTTTGTGATGATAATCAAAACTGTTTTTATTATGAATCACTCTATGAAGATCATATCTGTAAAAAATGAATTAAAAGCAAGGTCGTTTAGTCCATCTGTTGAAGCAAATACATAGATGGTTCGTAGTACTTTTACCAATTTCGTTCATATGTTTTTATACTGTTTAATGACTAAACGGCCTTAGTTTTAATTCATTTTCTGCAAAGCCGGTTTTTATAGAGTGATTTATAATATGAACGGTTTTAATCAAAAACACGAAGTTTGATACATCAGCAAGGAACAGTTTTGAGTAGGAACTCTTACGCATTCTTTGAGTGGCCAAGTATTATTCTCTATTGAATACCTTTAAAAATCTTTCTCACTGTTGATGCAAATACTGAAAACATACGATTTGTATCCAAAATCAATTGTCAAGCATAGAAAGTAGTATTATTAACCCAACCACCCGTTCAATATGTGGGTTGAGTTGGGCTGAAGTATTATTAATTCGAACTAAACTGACTTACCCAAATAACAATTCTTGATCATGCATGTATATTACAAATAAATACATATAAATCTAAAAGTTATTAAACACACTTGTTATTTCAATAGTGAATTTAAAAATTAAGTAACAAGTAGTGATTATACAACACCAAATTCACATAATTTAAGCCAAATATGATATGTATTTGAGTTTTTTTTGTCAATCATACTCACCTTCGGGAGAAGAGAGAAAGCAAATAATCCTAAACTGTGAAACCCACCCAACTCAAACCGCCTTAGAATGGTTTAGGTGCGTTGACTTACCCATTTTCTTGAGTGGAAATGAATTTCAATAATGTCAACCCAAACTTATTGGATTGGCCAACTGGTTGAAGTCCAACCCGACTACCCAACGCCCACCCTTAAAACAAAAGATTGCAAATAAGGAAAAAAAGGGTACCTACAATATTTAATTGTCAAATGAATGGACGACCATAAGTTTTTAAATTGTTAAGGGCGGATTTGTAATCTCTTATGATAAATTAAGTAAACTTTTCCTTATCAGCCAGTTTTTTTTAATTTTATAATAAACGATAATACTACTCTAAAGTATACTAAGGAAATAGGATGAGCTTGAACCAATGACGCAATGAATTATTGAAGAATATCTTATTCAATAGGGCAATCCACCACTTCCTTGTCAACTATTTTTGACAAATCAACAATTTTATCTCTATCTATCGCACTGAGGTTCAAACTCTCTCCTTTCTTGTTTAGTTTAATAATATTACTTGTAATAAAAAATATATAATAAAGGTGAAGTTGTGATTTTACAAATTTTTTATAATTTGTCTCTACATATAAAGGGAGCACACTAATTTGGTGAAACTTTTAATATCGAATTAATATCAACACAATAATATCCAAAATAGGTAAAACAAAAATAAAGTAAAACAATTAAAAAAAACGCGTAGGCGTGTAGTAAGAAGTTCGTAAATAAATAATTAAAATATCTATTTTTCTTTCCAACCTTTTCTTTTTCCTATTATCGCTTCAACAATAATTGATTCGCATTCATACCATGTGTGAGATTGCTAGTTTGAACTAAGGGAAATGATTTTTGATTCCTATTATCTCATTATGCATTTATCTTTTTTTTTGTTGTAGATTTGCATTGAAAACTATTAGAAGAAAGGAGTGCAAATGAACAAAAACGAAGCGTTAAAGTCATTTTCATTGAAATAAATGAAGCTATAACCATGTATAGTAGGCATTGTAAGTAGACATATCAATAACATTTGGGTTAGAACGGCCAATTTTTTGATAAAACCAGCGGGTGCTTAAAGCATTTTAGCATCAATTCGTCGTCTACAGTGGTCCAACAGGGTCAAAGTTGGTCGAGATTTACTCCTGGGATGATGGGCTACAAAACCCAAGTGGTGGCATCAGCCATCGCTTTGCTGATTCACCGAAAAAAAGAAAAGGGTGGGCGGAGTACCATTGGTTTTCATCGGGTTTTGTGGTCTCGCATCGTAATGTACGGTGGTTAATCAAGGCGGTTCTTGGTTGGGTTTTGCAGAGGGGAGTGAGAGCTTCAAGATGGTGGTGGTGGCGTCGAAAAAATCCACCGGAGTTGGCCAGAATCGGTGTTCGAAAATGGGAGGTAGTAGGGGTCAATTGGGTTGGGGTTTCCGGGCTTTTGGGTTAGTTTCCTCAAATGGAAACTTCCTAATTTTGGTTGACTAATTATAGACTTACTACTAATAGTAAGTCCACATGTCTAAAAGGTCTCATAATTTCTGAGGCTCGTAACTTTTCCGTTCTAACTCAGAATTAAGGTTTATTTACGCTTGTGCGTTCGTACCATCGAGTACTTTGATAACATGGTAAAATAATAACCCATTTGCATCACTAATTGACGGTCAATGATGGTCAACAATCTTGCCTCAAGGGCATTTTTGTCCATTCACTCTTTTAAAATTAATAAAATCATAAACATAGGGATAGGTCGTCACATTTAGCTTATCTTAAAAGAAGTGACTTCTATACAGTAACTTTTAAAAGCTGCATGTAGATTGCTTTTGAAAACTGTTTTCATAAAAAAACGAAACTCACCTTTAATTCTTTTAATACCTATTTAGTTTTAGAAAATGACATTGCTTATCCTTGTACACATGCTTTTCTCCCTTGAGGAACAAGGTGACCGCACTAGTTAAAACCGCAACCACCACCCTTACACCACCACCATCACCTTTGTTGTTGCCACCGTTGCCACCATAATTCCTACCAATGCCACCATCACCTCAATTGTCACCACCTCTAACCGCTACCATTGTCACAGACATTGTTCCTACCATCATAGCTATCTTTACACGCTCAACATCAACACGTCACTATTGACACCACCACAACAACACTATCATTAACATTGCCATTACCAACACCACCATCCACCATTGTTATCCATGCTACCTGTATACCTCTACAACCACCAACATTATATCCCCGCCATTTCCACTACTGTTACCACAACCGTCGCTACTGTATATATATGTACATATAAATGAATAAATAGAAATAAAAATGTCTTGAAAAGGTCCCAAAACTTAA